ACACATACACATACACACACACACACACACACACACACACACAAGGGAGAGAAAAAGAAAGAGACAGGGCAAGCAAGAGAGAGAAAAGAAAAGAGAGAGAGGGAGTGAGACAGGAAGAGCCAGACAAAGGGTGAGCAAGAGAGGGAGAAACGGAGAGGGAGGGAGAGAGGTGCATCCAGACAGTGTACCCTCCTTCACAGTTTCTAAATAAAGATGAGCAGGAAGAATGTGAAGGGATGAGTGGCCTTGGATCAAGATAAAAACATGATGAGTCAGGCTGCTTCACACTACTGGTTTGTCTTGCTAAGATCCACCTACACACACACACACACACACACACACACACACACACACACACACACACACACACACACACACACACACACACACGGTCGGATTTATAGTAAACTGAAACTGTCAAATAAAATCAGCCCACAATCCTTCCACCTGAAAGTGCTTTTTAAGATATTTCTGGTATATTTGTTCTCCTTTTACTTTTGATCACCTCTCAGAGCAACAAAAGAATCAAGAATTGCCACTTCTCATATTTTTCAAAACAAAGAAGTGTTGCAACACGACTACAGAAACACGACCTGACCACACTGAAACGGGATTTTCCAGAAGTCTCTGTAGCTTTTCTTCCACTTAGACACCGTGAAGGATTTAAACCAAAGCTCACCAACATTAAGCTGGACTGCGTGACCTTCAAACCAGAACCTTATAGTGTGTGTGTTAGCCTGTCAGGTTGGCTAAAATCATTCTAGATGTGTCTTTTTTAACTGTCAATGTGACAAATTAAAGAACTCCCTTTTTAACAGCTAAATAATGCATCATGTATAATTTATATAAAACGTTTATAAGCACATTGTGTGTCTGGATGGCTTCTATTAAAAGTAGCTCATGCCTTCATTGTCTGTGAGGAAAATCTGCATTACTCAGACACCCTCATGCACAGCTGTGCATGTTCCAGCTTGCTTTCAATAGCAGAAACAAAAAAAAAAAACCTTGGCACGAAACTATCACTGCATTCCTCCAGCAATGCAAAGTTAGTGATTCAACAAGGAGGGTTTTAATTACAACTATAATCAGCCTCATAACAATTAAACCATGTGTCAGATCATTAGAATCAGTCTAAAAGCTAAATCACCAGCCTTTAAATTTAACTAAATTCATGCATTTACTTTTAAAAGTACATGTTCACCTGCTAGATTTGAAGTTCTAGTAAATGGTAAATGGCCTGTATTTGATATAGCACCTTCTAGAGTTCTTGAAACCCCCCAAGGCGCTTTACAACACAATCAGTCATTCACCCATTCCCACACACATTCACACACTGGTGGGGATGAGCTACGATGTAGCCACAGCTGCCCTGGGGTGCACTGACAGAGGCGAGGCTGCCGAGCACTGGCGCCACCGGTCCCTCCGACCACCACCAGCAGGCAACGTGGGTTAAGTGTCTTGCCCAAGGACACAACGACAGCGACAGACTGAGCGGGGCTCGAACCTGCAACCTTCCGATTACGGGACGAACACTTAACTCCTGTGCCACCGTCGCCCCAACAATCTCAATAGAAAAGCAACTGATAGCAGCCATTGTGCATCAAAACAGGAAAATAAACTACGGTATTCATAAAAATACTGCATGCTGGTTATATTTTGCAACATAAACACATTATTTCCTTATGCTGCTGTTCTACCAGCTATAATAATACACAAACATTATTTGAGACACAAAACCATGCACATGACACATGTGCACATGTTTGCAAAAACATGAGTCCAAAGGCTGACTGCCACAGGAGGTCAAATTCCACCTAAAGCAACACTATAGGGTATTTTAGTTCATCTGGATGTTTTTGAGATAAACCCCAAAGATAAAGAATAGCCACAAATGAGGGTGGTTTTTACATTTGCATTTGGTGAAATATTGTTCACACGTGTGGCGGCTCGTCAATAGGGGGCGATAGGCCTCCGCCTTCATTAAAGCTGTCTCATTAAAGGTGTGGTTCACTGGAAAAACATTTCCTATTATAATTGGTCACTCCAAGTTTTTTATGCAGGCTGAAGATTAAAATAGTCTCCTACACCTATCTCCTGCATTAGCTTCTGATAGAAAATAGATGGTGAAACTCTAGAATTAGAAAACCCTGACAGATCTAAGTCACACTGTCATTTAATGTTCATTGACTCGTCCATCTTGACTCATGACAGGGAAGGCTGTTGTTGGTTTAGCATCCAGGAAACAGCAGAGAACATCTTGGCTAGTAAAAGATAAATGTTAGCGTTAGCAACTCCACCGCATGGTAGAAGCTCCTCCAGACTTATGTAATTTATGGAGAAAACAACATCAACATTGCAGAGCAAAGAGAGTCAACTGTAGAGTCACATTGTGTTAGCCAATAAGAGGTGAGAAGTCCAAACATCGGGAAATAAGACTTCAAATCCTGTCATCTGATGCTCAACTCTGATGTGGCTCACTTCTAGTTCCTGAAAATGGTGCACCAGAGCTTTGTTTCCCCAGAGTATGACTTACAAGGCATTAATTAATACTAGAGACACCCGCAAATGTATTGATTAAACAAGTGAATCGCACCATTAAACAATGAATTTCCTGCAACAGACTCAGAGGGTGTTTCTCAATAACAAGGCGCCTGGCCTAACGAGGTGATGTCTTGTTTGGTCGAGCCTTTTACTTTTTGAATTGTGTATATATTAAGCAAGTTACTACCTGTTAGCCACCAAATCTGCAACTGCTAAGCAATTAACCAACCGTAGATAACTGCTTTGTATCTAAATAAAAACATTTTAGTTATCAGCCCCATAGCTACAATTAGCTACTTACATGTCAACTGGAAATTTGTCCCTGAAGTAGCTGTTGCTGGCTCCTGATTCGCCAACCTTGAGAAAATACTGTGCTGTATATTCTGGGAAATCTTTGACCAAGGCCAGGCTACAAGACACCTCCCATGTATCCTTGCTCAGCTAGCTAAACAGCTAACAAACAGGGAACAGATGCCTCGGTAGCATGCAAACATTGTAACACGCCTTGTCGGTTCCTAACGGTGTATCTCCCAGGTAGCCAGGGCAGGACCAAGGCATCAAGGCGAGGTTCCTTGGCATTGAGAAACATCCAGTAATATCACTCCTGGGGCATTGGAAAAAGCACACCTGAACTGCAGGCTAACAGTCAATCACTTTGGTTGCTAGGGAGACATGGAGAAGTTTTTGGCCAATCAGCATCACTGACAATGTCCCTGCAGCAGGAAACAGCTAGCTAGCATGCTAAATGGTGCCCAGTCTCCTTTCCTCTGCGTGTTGCCTAACCCTAACCAGCCACTACTGGTTAGCTAGAAGACAGATCTCATCTGGTGTACGTTAAACTAAATGATCAAATTCCATTTTGTCACAGAGAATAATCAGCTGCACTTAATTTTTCTAAGACAAACATTGAAGGAAATAAAGCAAGTAGATTTTTTTTCTAAGCATAAAAAGGCAAGGCTGTTTGCTAAAATCGCTTTGTTTATTTAGGCGTAAATTGCTGGCGGAGCTGGTGGAGGATGAAAAGGTTGCAGTGGAAATCGCCCGTCTAGAGGAGGAGTTCCGACGCCTAACAGAGGAGAACCACACTTTGGTGATGGTCCACAGGGAGCGCACTCAGCAGTTGGAGAGGCTCTGCCCGACCAATCAAACGAGGCAGGACTCCTCATGACCTTTTTTTACCCCCGCCCTCCCCTAGATCCAATAACCACCAGACTTCCAGCTGACACCGAGCCCAAACAACCAGAAACACAGGAATCGGCTGCATGAATCAGCTAATTACAGAGAAAGAAGTTGTGTGTGTTCTTCATTAGTCATTCGCTGGAAGCACAGACGTACCCATCATCACTGTGAGGTAGTTAAGCTGATCCTAGCGAGCAGTGACACAGTTCTGGGTGCTGCTGTGTTTGTAACCTTGCTTCCTGATTGTTACTGCCTAACTGTAGTCATGCTCGGTCAGTGCTCGTGATCTGATCTTCTCAGGTCATGTTTCGCTGTTTATCTGAGGGAACCAAAGGTGGTGTGATATGGTCCAAAAGATGTATTTTAAGAAGATTTAAGCCCCTTCTTCCTCCTCACAGACAAGTGTTTAAATAGAGTGAAATATCTGGAACTATTCAAGATGAACGATAACAAATTATGTTTGATGAATGATCTGTTTTACAGTCTCTGCTGCAACACATAAGAGTTGTACATTATTATTAATACTTTGATGGTTTTCTGGTGTTTAACTGTAGATAGGGAAGTATACAACAAGTCAAAAATGGCTGCGTATTGTCCTGGTCTGATAATAAAAGACGTTTTGATGTAAAACCAGTGTCACTTCCTTAGTTTCAATTCTCTAAGTCAACACTGTTTTGTTGTGTCGTGTCCTCACCGTTGGCATTACAGAGAAAAAGGAAATAGACCGATTTTTTTTTCCCTTTCATGACAAAATTAGCTCACCCTGGAATTACAAAACAGTCACCTGATTGGCCAGTTTAACCAGCTTCCTTCTTTTTCCACCTCATGTGACACTCTTTGTTTTGTCATGACTGAGTTTAAAAGGCTATAGTTGTATTAATGAAACATTTGCCTTACGCTAAGGGATGCGTGTGGCCCGTCTCCCTCCTTAAAGGTCATAAAATTATTAAAAAAATAAAATAAATAACTTTAAATAAATTTAGGTACCTGCAAAACATTTCTCAACCAACTCAAGCGGGGTAGGTTGATTTGCTAGCTGATAAAAGAAACTTGAGCTGACAAAACAAACCTCTTCTGAGAATATTAACCTCATTAATAACAACAAAACTTCCCTTTTCTTCTTTAATTCAACGTAAGAAATAAAATCTTCAGTTTGAATTCACTTAACAAAGTTATCTCAACTGGTTCCACTTAACTTAGGTGTGATGTGTTAAAATCTATTTTTAAGACGAAACGCTTAAACAAACACACTTTAAACTCCCTGCTTTCACTATAATCTCTTTGAATGTGTCTGGGGAGCGTTTTGTCCGAGGGATTTTCTGGGAAAAGCCTGTTAGCTCACCAGACAGATCCAAGGGTGGGATTGGACGGGATGGGGGAAAACTGCTTGTTCATCCTTTATCAGTAGGAGCACATGAGTCAGCGCTGCTTTGTTACACCCATGGTTGTTGTTACAACACACACACACACACACACTCTCTCTCTCTCCCTCTTTGTGAATGCCACCCTCCCCTCTCAGATACTCACTAGCAGGCCTTATGACTGAGTCAAGCTCAGTTTTGAGTTTGCGGGCGAGCTGAGATAAGGCTTTTCTGAGAAACGGCCCGGTTGGACGACATTCCATTTAACATTATCCATGTCAACACGGCAGCTAAATCTTTCCTCAGCACTGAAGGAGACTCAAAAGTCGGCTTTTTGAGGTAGGCAGTTTCTCTTTAACAGTAATGTTGAAATCTTTTTGAGTACATTTGTGGCAGGGGGGTGTGAACGTGTTGATTTGTGTACACACAGATGTTTCAGATGGCTACCCCGAGGTCGTCTGTGTTTACCTTTGAGTCCACGGTGCATTCTTCTCATGTGCTGCAGTGGCTGGACGAGCAGCGCTGCCGGGACTTGTTGTGTGATGTTACGGTGTTGGTGGAGGGTCAGAGTTTCAGGGCTCACCGCTCGGTGCTTGCTTCCTGTAGTGACTACTTCGCCCAAAGGATCTCTTCCCCGGTGCAGCACGGAGCGGTCCTCACCCTGCCAGACGAGGTGAAACGTCGTCTCTTGAAACAGAAAGTAGTTGCACACGAGCTCTGATTCTTCACAACCGCATGTCGGTTGGAAAAAGAAGTGAGAAAATTCAATAAAAAGACCCATTTCCTCAGTGGCCAGGGCCAGCTGAGGTGGTTTTATTTATACGTCAATGACTCATGGTATGCTTGCTTTGCAAACACACGTTTGGAACCATCTAAGGTTAGAGCGGACAACCAGGAAACACACACACACACACACACACACACACACACACACACACACACACACACACACACACACACACACACACACACAGAATTTTTAATTGTTTCTTGGACGATATTATAAACATTGCGTTTCTTTTTAAAAATCCAAATAGCTTATTATGTTTTTATTGTTTTATATTGATTTGACATTATTCAGACATTATAAACCAGTAAAGACAACACATCTGTACTTCATTCATACCAACAGGTATGTTGAATTTACTTAACCAAGTTGTCAACCTAAATTTAAAGAGCAAGTCACTTTTAAAATAACAACATATAACAATAGCCGTTTTTACAGGACCATAGCGTTTGCAAAACGGGATTTGCCGCGGCTCCCTGGGGAGGATAAAGGCCGTTTGTAAGATCCGACTGTGGCGGTAATGTGGCGCAATCGTGGCAATTTTATAAAAGATTAGGTGATGGTGGCATAAAGGGGGTATGGGGCGGTCTCTGCGCTGCCGCAGACTTCCGTTTATCTCGGACATGACTTGCTTTTTATTGCGATTGAATCTGTGAACGTTACGTTTTTTAACAAGCAGCTCTAAAAGGTGTCTGTCCCCATCAGTCCCTGTGCGGTCTCTGGTGATCTGAGCTTCAGCTCGAACAGAGAGGCTCACGGAGCGCTGCGGCGCTCCAGTTTGTCATCTCAGCTGATTTTGTTCAGAAAGCAAACCTTACCGCCTGTGTTTACTTTCATTTTCAATACATTTGCCAGCCAGAGCTCAGCAATATCTCCCCACGTCATCATGACACCTGCCTCTGTTGCGCTAGCGCGCATACGACAGTCCATTACAGCAATATTACTACCAAGCGAGGTGGAAAGAATGCCGCAAAATTCGCACAACGCCATGCCGGCGTGGTGCATTTATAGACGTACCGTTGCGGTAATATTACGTCGGTTTGCCGGCATGGTGTGTCTTGTAGGAAGGGCTCATGCATATTACTCTTTAACTAGGTTTAGTGGAGCAGCTTGGCATGACTTGGTTGAGTAAATTCAACATTTTATTTCTTACAGTGTAGTATCCAGATACTTGTGTGTCTGCTTCTCTCTGCTTCATACGACACCCTCAACACCCTAAAATTAAACTCAATGAGCGCTTTTGTGTAACACACTACAACGTGTTTAAGTTAATTCAACATTAATTTTCTTACAGTGTATTTAGAGCAGAACTTTAGGACTAAAATGTGCTTGTGCGCTTTGTTTCTTATCTGTAACAGGTGACAAGTGCTGGCTTCGAGCCCTTGCTGAAGTTTGCTTACACATCTAAACTCCACTTTGGGAAAGAAGATGTTTTGGAGATACAAAGCGCAGCCTCCCTTCTAGGTTTCAAAGACCTAGACGAGGCGTGTTTTGATTTCCTGCTCCCAAAGCTCTTTTCCAGTAACAAGAGCCCTCCCGCTTTTGTGAGGAAGTGTTGTAAGAAGGCCTGCAAGAGGCGATTTACTAAGGAAAATGGAGGCACAGACTCTGACGTCTTGGGTGACAAAGAGGCAAAACCAGTTGCTGACTCATCATCTCAGCGGGACGCGGCTTGGGAGCGTGGCAAATCAGTAAAGAAGAAAACAGGAAGTGTGAGTGGCGCGGTCCCTGCTGGGCCACCTGTTGAAGACATGGACGTCGCTGTCCTAAAGTGTCCAAAGTACCGCAAGTTCCAGCTTGCTTGCGAGAAGGAAAATGGTGAGAAAGTTCCAACAAAGTCGAGGATCAGGGATGCCTGCTCCCTCTCCTGCTTTCAGTGCTCTAGCAGTCCACTCCTTAAAAGCAAAACTGCCTCCAATGAAGAGATAAACGGGGGAGCTAAAGAGCTCCCAAGCAGTGAAATACACGAAGCAACTCGGGGACTTTATCCTGTTAAGAACGATTCGCTTGAAGAAGAACGAAAACAGAATGAAAAGGTGGCAGAGGACACCTTTAAGGACAAGATGGAGCATTTGTCTGGCATGAAGCCTTTAGACACTTCTAATGCCAAGCTAGTCTCACCAGGCTCAAGCCCAACACCTGAAGAGAACCCAGAGTGTTCACTGCCCCCTTGCCCTTTGATTGCCCTGAATGAGCTCAGTGCAGTCTGTAGGTTGGTGCAGCGTGAGGAGATTGCCGCCAACATCACAGAAAACCAGGAAATGCTGAACCCTGTAGCGGCAGAGCCAGGCTCTCTTCATCAAAACATGCCTGAAGCGGAGGGGACAAGTCTGTATTATGTCTGCCAGGACGGAGGACAAACAGGCAGCGTGGAAAGATCAACCTTCCTGAGCAAGGAGAAGGAAGTGGCTGGTCTTCCCCCAGCGAGTCTGGGATCAAGGACAGGGACTTCTCAGCCAAACGTTCAGGAATGGGCGCAGAGCCCATCTCCCAACACTAAAAACAGCTGCCCCTTTCTACTGGAGCTGCACCCGGCGAGCTGCTCGCTGTCTGAGATGTCCGAGTGCGAGGTGGCTTCTCAGTCCGGTGTTTCATCCATGAACTCGGGGGAGGACGGAGACTCGGAGACGGAGACGGAAGGAGACTGCGACTTCGCTGCAAGGGAGAGAGCCCTGCAGGTGAGTGGATAAATCGCCCCGTTACCTCACAATGTTCCATTCAGACATTTTTATCACACATCTGCATTCAGAAGGAGATCTGCTATGCTTCCAAGTTAATAATTCACACCACAGAGATGACATATGTGTGTGTTCCGCTCATAATGGTTCAGAGTCCAACTCCGTGCAAATTCACAGCTCAGCTTGTTGCAGGGACTGCAGGTCAAACCGCAGATGCAGAGATCTCAGGTGTAAGTGCTCCTTTAGGATTAGTGTGAAAGCACAGAAAAAAGGGGAGGGTAGTGCAGACAGCATTTCTTATGTGAGGCGTTCGTTTTATTTACCTACTCAGCCTGTTAGGCTCGTGCTTCAATAAAATGGCGAGAGGGCGTTTCCCGTTCCTGCACTTCCATCGCACCTGGTTTATAAAGTTAATAATTAGCAGCTCGGGGAAAATGTAACTGCCTGGATTTCATATTCATTTCACAATTCTCGTCATTTGTACAGCATGGAGAAACAGCTTTCACTCGTAAGTGACCTGATAAGTTAATAAATAAAACACTTTTGTTGTGATTTTTGGCTATTTTAGGGCAAGAAATCCCATTTTTCTCTTCACATTTGAAGCACCAACAGTTACACAATTGTAAGACCTCATTATTTGACCACAGAAACACACCAAGGTTGGCTGAGGATGCATCTTGATCTATGCATCCTCGGCCATGAATTCTGTTTGCATAAGCTGCATTTCCTGTTGGGACGCCCTCAGGTGCAGTTGCCGTACCCCATGGAGTGGATCGTCAGCCTGAGCCGGAACGACTTCCAGCAGCTGCTGAAGCAGCAAACCTTCACTCGAGAGCAGCTGGATTTCGTCCACGACATGAGGCGGCGCAGCAAGAACCGCCTGGCGGCTCAGCGCTGCCGCAAGAGAAAACTGGACTGCATTTACAATCTGCAGTATGAGATCCACAAGCTGGTGAGCTTTTCAGAAAAGTGTTTGTCCGTGTTTTATTTTTAAGAGATGCCTGCACTAATCACGCTGATGTGTTTTAGAAATCTGAGAGGGAGAAGCTGCTCATGGAGCAGAACCAGCTGAATCAGATGAAGATGAAAACGTGTCACACTGTCAACACTTTGTGTCAGAGGGTCTGCAGAGAAGCAGATCTACAGCCAGACCAGCTGCAGGCGTTAGCCTCGTACACCACCTCAGACTGCCCTCTGTCCTCCTTCTTCCCTCACATTGACTCACTTCTGTCACAGTACGGGCCACCACTTCGTCCCCAAATATCTGTCATGGCGTCTTCTGGGGGAAGACAGTTTGTGGCCCCTGAGGACAATCTGTCCCGTTTGAACCGAGACACAATCAGAGTCCAGCATTCACTGTAGACACACAACTAAATCACGCTGCCCGAGGAGATATTAAACTGTACTGTACTCTTTGTTATTCTGTATATAAGAGCATTTATTTTGACATGAGCACAGGATACAATAAGAGCTCATATATAAATGTTTACAGCGAATTTACTGTGAACAGCAAATATTTTAATAAGATTATTTTGACCTGCCATCTTTTTTTTATCTCAAAACAGATGCTGGAATAAAGATGGTGAACATGCTTTTGTTAAAGGGGACATATTATGATTTATTTTGTTAAGTTATAATAGTCCTATGATCTATACAAGATGTGTTAATGAAGTACTTTGCTCTAAATCCCTCCCAAATACAGGGAAAACAGCAGTTTTTGTTCTTGACATTTTCAGTACCTTCCAGAATGAGTCGTTTCAGGGCTCTGTCACTTTAAGAAAACATGCTAGAGATGGCCACGCCCACCTATTTCTGTTCAGGCTGCTATAAGCCGAGAAGCTCTGATACTCGGGAGGGGCTCAAAGTAAAGCCGCTGCTCCTCCAGCAGCAGCAGCTCTCTTTTGCACACGTGAGGCGATGCTATCATAATTTCCCTGTTTGTGACATCACAAATGGGGCCTTTTTCAAATGTCGCATTTTAGGTGAATTATTCCTAAAATCAAACACTGATAGAAAACAAATGGATGGGTTTTGCTTTGTTGGAGTGTTTATAGAGGCAGTCGAGACCCACATAGCAGCACAATAGGATAATACACCCCCTTTAAATCTTTTGAAACAAATGTCCAGAAACTGTTTCTAACAATGCAAATGGCCTTTTACACCAGATAAACAAGATATTCATTGGGTGCATGCCTTACACTGAGTGATAATTTAATTCAGCAGAATTGTTCTTTATATTTGTATAAGAAAATACCTCAAGCTTTGTATTCTGTTTGACACAGGAGAACTCTCAGGTGCAGAAAGGAACATTTCTTCTCAAACCATCAACTCAGTTCGCATCAAAACCACCACACTCAACCACTTGTTTACCCTTGATGGGACTTTCGTCTTTTCTAGTTGTCATTGTGGCCTCCATGACTCAGATTACCACAGTGACACAACTGTTTTAAGAACGCAAACCTCTCAGAGCATCGGCTGGACCTCACATGTCATCATTCCATCTTATGAAGGACCTTTTCTAAAGCACACTGTAAGAAATTAAATGTTGAATTTCACTCAACCAAGTTATGTCAACTGGTTCCGCTAAACCATACATTTAATATTCATTAATATTAATACTTAACCATACATAAAGTTTAAAAATGTATATTATTGTTTACATTTAAGCAATTTATTTGTTGAATCCAGTTGACATAACTTTGTTGAATAAAATCAGCATTTTATTTCTTAGAGTGTAGTGCTTTTTGGAAAAGGTTTGGTGCATCTGCAGTGTTTATTAGAAAACACATTTACTCATGTGGTACATAGAAGCACAGACAAAAAAAAATCATGATTTTGTCTGTAGCAGATCCTCGTAATCTTGAACAACTTTGTCCAAGCCACTTCCAAGGGTTAACTTATGCAAAACTCAGTGACATATTGTTTCAGATTTATAATCTTTTGTCTTCAGGTTAATTATGGCAAAATGATTTCTATGTGCTTACAGCTTAATTGGTACATTTTCTGCAGAATTGGAATCAATCGTGTTTTTTTTTACTTGTAATTTTTGTGAAATCAACACAACATTGCAACTTTTTATGTGATTTCTGTAATCGTTTGATGTCAATCCTGTAAATAATTTTGGTAATTTTTAAATGTTTTCAATTTGAAATGAAAATTTTGTTATTAACAAGAAACAGCCTGATTTAGTTATCTTTTTTTTTTTTTTTTGAAAATCTATCTAGCAGTGTGGATATCAGAACATCGGCTCAGATCTGTTACATTAACTACTTCAACATTGAACAAATTAGCTCTGGTTGATTCATGAGCTAAAGACTAGTCAAGAAAGAGCCAAAACCAGAGAGGATTACTCTCGTCCATAAAATGTATCCTCTAAGAGATTCTAAATGTTGTATTTCAGGGTGATTTATATTGAAATACAGGAATATCTTCCGTGGAAATTAACTGCATAGTTAGCTGTACCACTTCCTTTTTAGCATGCAAGACTTCCTGTTAAAAATTCAAAGGTCTTTATGCTGGAATTATTGCAAAATTTACAGTAATGCAGAAATAACACAAACTGCCATTATGTTTCTATGATTCGAGCTGATTTAAGGCAACAGATCTGCTCTATAGCTCAGACTAGCAGTTAGCTTATTAGTCCCATTAAGGCCTTGTCTGTGCTACTCTAGATGTTTTCTTTAACTGATAGTTTTTTTCCTTCAGTATAATAAAATTATTCTAACAATATTGGTAAAATACACCCACTTCAATAACAGGTGATATACATAAATATACAAAATCAAAAAAGAAAGGAAAAACAATTGGCTAAAAACGTTCGCCACACATTTATTTTATTTGGATGATGTTTACAATTTTATCTTAATTTATAATTTCAGGTTAGATACACATTCTTCGTTTTCTGTCTTTCACAGAACCCCACTTTAGAAGTTTTAATTTAACATTAAAACTACTAAAGTAGATGTTTAAAGGCAACAGCAGCACACGTCTGACGCCCTCTAGTGGTTGAACATAAACTGTCCAAGTAAACCCAAAGTGTTTTATTCATTAATTTTAATACTTTCCTCTAAATCTCCCACTGTACTCCTAAAATCTTAGCTAAGTTGTGAAAAAATAGAACAACCACCCTTGCAAAGAAAAGTAAAATTACCCAAGCTTTAAAAATTTAAACTTGTTCAAAACTGTTTTTTTTTAAGTTGGAGAGAGCACTTGGGTGAGTTTAAGCTCCAGTTTATCTTGAGTGCCTGCCCTGATTTTTGTTTTTATGCACGATATTTATAACTCTAAAGAAGAAACCCTTTATGTGGAGTTTTATTTATTTTAAACAGTTTATAAAATGTATGCAGTTCGTTCAACTCAACAGAAGGTGGCTCCACGTGAACATCTCCTGACAGTTAAAGCTAAATTGAAATATTCACTTCAGGACTTTGAGCTGAAATCTGAGTAAAAATCTCAAGTCAGACCAGTCAGACCTAATAAAACATTACATTTTCAATTAGTATGAACTTACATTTCATATAAAATTTCTCTATGAATTCAGAGAGCTGTATACATTATTTCTAATCTGTAAAAAAAAAATAAAATATCACCTGTTTCATCATAAACATCTCATTCCTGCCTCTCAGTTTTAATATCAGTGAGGATTTACTGTAGGTGGTTCTCTGGCAGAGTGCGAGGACAAGTGAAAGCAGCAGATACTGGGCTCAAAGTCCCAGCAATAACTTGATCTGCACCAGCTGTCAAGAGTTAATAGGCCAACATTTGTGAATAGCTTTTGCCAAAAACAAAAAAACTCATCTTAAAATAAGAAAATTGTTTTAATTTCATGGATTTATTTTAAATAGTATTTCTATATTTTTTATTCTTATTTTTTTTATTCTAGAGAGAAGCTTGGTCCCTCATCTGTAGAGTCTGCGAAGAAACACAAGAGATGAAATGTTGAATTCACTTAACCAAGTTATATCAAATGGTTCCACTAAACCTAGGAAGACCCAGGTGTAGGTATAACTTTACTAACTTCAGATCGTACCGCAATCGGCAGCTGTTGCTGACCAGAAATCGGCACCTAACAGTTTTGTGGGTTGGTAGGTGCCCTAGGGGGAGCTCTCAACTTGCTTAATGGCTATTAGTTGTTTACACTGGCTAGTAATAAGGTTAGCAGTTAGCTTTTTCAGTTTGCCGACCATAAAAAAATAAAAGAGTTTTGCTTTTTCTGTTCACATCGTGGTGAAGCCCAGAAGAAAAAGTCAGAGAGTATTGTCTTTGGAGGCAAAGCAAAGAGCTAAAACCAGAGTGAACATCGGCGTGGCCTACGCTAGTTTGAAAGAACTAAAGGAGGCAAAAAACAAAACAAAACAAAAAAAGACTGATGGTGACCTGGCTTTGTTGTTACTAAAATTGTAAGTAATAATATTTTTTGTTCACCAGTGTGGATCTTTTCACTTTGTGGCTTATTTTAGCATCAGTTAGCTCATGTTAGCGTTAGCTTGTTGTTAGCGCTACAGCGGGGTTGCTTACGGTGGTTAATTCCACTTTCAACCAGTAGGACAGAGAAGCAGGAAACTATTTGCTGTCGCTTTAAGTAAATTCAACATTTCCATTTCTACAGGGTATCAAGTGAGTGCTCAAAAGACAAAAAAAAAAAAAAAAGAAACAACCTGTAACATGTGGTCTCATATAGTTCCATGTGTTTGGTGTCATCAGAATTACGTGTTGTCCTGTCTCAATTTACTAAACCCAAGTAAATCCCATTTATGTGACCTGTTTTAAGATAATTCATGTGTGTGGTGATTAGGGTTGTCACGGTAACCGGTATAGCAGTAAACCCCGGTAAAAAAGTTGACAATAAAAATAACCGTGCAGTTTTTAATAAACTAAATTATCTCGGTGGGTTTACCGTGGCCGCGGTTTCGGCGCGGTGACCCTTACCAGCCACCGTCGCTTCAGCTGAAGTTCCCGCGGCGCGCACACGCACTTTTTAGTTTGCAACGGCACCAAAACTTTGAAGCTGAAATAACGGCCGAAGGAGGAGACGGCAGCGCCCAGGACATCCATCAGCCCTCAAAGAAGACTAAATCGGAAGTATGGGCATATTTTGGATTTCTGAAAAATGCTGAGGGACAGTTAATAGAAGACTGCTATCCCGTTTGCAGAACGTGCAGGAAAAAAGTGTCTGCAAAAGGCAGCAACACTTCGAATCTCATGGCACATCTGAGTGACCATCACCCACGTCTCTACAGCCAGTGCAAGGTAAGTCAACATTAGCATTTTAGCTTAAATGCATGACGCGAGGACTTTTGGTTGAGGGAGAATGCAACGAGTCACTATATACTGCAGCTGCAGCGTCCTCTGCCAGCATTTAAACCGTGTCACGGACACCCTGTTGCTGGATGAAGCATCTTATTTGTTGATGATGAAGAGAAATATACAATTAGTTCCTTGTCATTGATTTGTTTACTTATTCAATGCCATTTATACTTGGACATTTGGATTTGATTACATAGTGTAGTAGTTATTTTAGTAATTTGTTTAAAGTGGCTATTTATTTTAAATACATATTTTTTAAGGTTGACTTGTACAGTGCTCAAGTCAAGTGTGGACTGGAGTTTTAGATTTTCATTTTGATAATGAAGAAAACAAGTATATGAGAAAACAAGTGGTGTTTCTTTGATTTGTTTACATATTGTTTATGTTTTGAATGTTTGGATTTGTATCATTTAAACCTGCACTGACTACTGTAACATGTTCCAGTTCCTTTACTTGTGAAAAGTTGCACTTTTGCTAAGGCTTTGTGTTATTTTAGGTTTAATAAACACTGTTAAACCTTTTCTAAACTATTTCAGTTTGTGTAGAACAGGACTATCAATGCTTTCTGAACATATGCAACACCGTTTAAAAAATACCGCGATAATACCGAAAACCGTGATAATTTTGGTCACAATAACCATGAGGTTAAATTTTCATACCGTGACAACCCTAGTGGTGATCAAGATGGGACTCTTGTTGGGTTTTCCCCATGTGACTAAAGTGGTATACCAGAGAAGATGGCATTTATGTTTCTTGAAATAATCTTATTTTTTCAGCCATTTACTGCCTACACAGACCCAATATGCACTCTCTGGCAGGGACGTTTCAATCAGAGCCAGATGACTAAATCTGATCCCTCATGCAGAGCATAATCCAGTCATATGTCCAACTAATGAGAACCTGAGAGTCCTGAATCACCCTGAACAGACAAACACACTTTCCTCAGTCTAAACTAATAAAACATGGAGGTTGACCCATCGACCCTTAGTGTGGTTGGCTACGCTTTGCTCAAGTGAGAGGACTTGATTCGAGGTTAAAGATTAAATAATATAAAAATAATTAAGAAAACAGCGAGTACACATGTGAGCACATGTATATTATTTAAAAATGTCACAATAAATAATGAGTGAATACATTTTCTTAAAAGCTGTATATGAAATGAGCAGTTTTATATTTTGTTCTAACAGAGAACATTATGATGACATTTCTCAGAAAAAGCCGTCCCGTGCTCCGGATGGTGCAACACTGAGCTGGTATCACATGATACGTGAATCCCACACCTTCACACTGTCCTGTGGAGAGGGCGTTCTTTAAATCCGGCACGCTTTTTACTCACGTGATGCAACATGACCATGGGGAACATTAGAACAATGACCCTGGTGTAACAGGCTCATCAAAACACTGTGCAAACTGGAAACCCATTATGAACACATAAATAGCAACAATGAAGTCATATTTGGTGTGTAGCTCCTAAATATGCAGATATGGAATTTATATAAGAATTTAAAATAAGAAAACAGAAGCTTTACTTTGTGCAGGGAATGCTGCTGAAGAGCCACAGAGGTATGGAGAGAAAACTCAACAGAAAAACAGGTAGCCAATATCAGAAGGAACATGGAGAGGATTTTTATAATATTTGGTGTGTGTGTGTGTGTGTGTGTGTGTGTGTGTGATTGGAACAGCAAGAAATAGTTTCACATAGATTTTAGAGCATACCCATAAAAAGACTCTAGTTACCATGGTTACTAAGAATTTGGTACAGGAACATAAAACATGTTCAGATTGTAACTAACGCTTCATTTTTTGACAAAAAATCATCATTTTGTTTTTTTTAAATCAGTGCTAATAAAAATAGGATTTTTTTTCAAATGAAATGATGTTGCAAACCAACCAAACCTGCTAAAACTATAAAATAATACATTTTACCAAACAGTCATTTCATGCTAAGCACATAGCAAATAACTAAAACCATTCAAAATGATTGTATGTGCAGAGATCATATAGCTAACCATGGCTTTACTGAGAGCGATCTACAGTTCTCTTTATGGTTTGTCTCTGGTTCTGTATATTTAAATGGATACTATGTAGTTTTGGCTTGTTTTTAGCACCCCCTAGTGTACGTTATTGAAACCAAAATAGAAAATTCTCTCCTCGCAGTGCGCTCGTCTTTTTAACACCTTAAGTGTCTCCTCAGCATTAATTAGTTTCTACAGGAGTGGTTCATCAATGAAAAAGCAAATCAGCTGACTTCACACACTTAAAACATGCAGGAAACGTGCTGTAAGCAGACTGCAGCGCCAGACATTTCAGCTCCACTTTTACTAAGTCCAACAGGGACCAGTCTGGCAACTCTGAAGTTGCAAGTGTGGTATTCTGGCCGTAGTGGGCGTCGGGGGTCTTAGTGACATTTCATTCATTTTAGCACATACTGGCTCAAGAAACTTATTTAAAATACAAAAGGTTGCATAGTATACCTTTAAAAACAAAGCTTATTGGTTTTAATGGCACACCGAAAACCCAAACTTGTTTAAACCAAAAATGTCTGTTGCACTAAAGTGGAGTCATAATGATTTGTGGTACGAGTGTGAATGCGAAGCTGAAAGTCCCACCAACGCCAACTCCCCAAAGAAAACCAGGGTGCATTTTAACCATCAAAACATAAATTCAGTTAAAGGCATCAGTAAAACAACATTTGATCAAGAGGCAACAAGACAAGAGTTACTCACATCAACTGAAATTAACACCTGGAAAACAATGGAGGTGTCATCAATTTTCTTACAATTCATAAAAACGACCCATTTAGTCGTGTTTCCAGAAGAGGTGCTCACAGAAATTTCTGGGAGTGGAGAAGGTGACATACACAACCATTAAATTACCAGTATAATTTAATTATTTCATTAACATTTCCAGTAGTAATCTACCGGAAATGTTAATGAAATAATTAAATTATACTGAAAGTATGTGGATATATTTAGATATGTTAGACTGGGATAAGTGATATTAATACAAACCTAAAATGTTAATGAATTTAAATCAAATTTTTGGCCAAAAAATATTTATTAACTATAAATATCAGCTGGGAAAAGGGAACTATGCATATTATTGAGCCTTTTAATATTTTATAGTTTTATTTTCATTTTTTTAGCCGCAGATCAGTTTTGTTTCACTTGAAACGTTTTCAAATAGAATATTGGATCAGTCAACAGAGGATTCGATAGAATATGCGAATCCTAAAATATTCGATAGTGCAGCCCTAATTAAGTTACAACCAATCAGCATGAGTTAACCACACGTCCGGCCCAGCAGCTCTACCGGGCCATTTCTAAATACATATCCCAATGCAGGTACATGATTGGTCCCTGAAATGGCTCGGAAGGTGGTCCTTTCAGCCAGCCCGGTGAAACAGAGACACACGTGAACTGGGAAGGTCCAGGAAAACTACCTGGAAGATCTAATAGTGGAAATGTGCCCTTTGGATGATTGGAGTTGTGGCTTAAAACTTGCACTACAGCCAACCACTAGGGGGAGCTTAACTTCTCTCAGGTTAAATATCTGTCTATTTTACCATGAATACAATGAAGCGTAAAGATCATCAACTCTGTTTTCACTTAGCATCACTCACCAGAAAACTGGACAATTTGTACCTTTGCCAAAATACAGACACCATAAAATAGTCAGTGAGTTTTGTTGTCTCCAGAACCGACTCTTTCACCAATGTCCAAGCAAATGTACAAACATCAAAGAAGTCACCCTGAAAATAACTTGGGTGTCCTCTGAGAGCTGTGAGGCGTGGTCGTTCTGCTCTGCCTCTATTGTTTCTAGTCCTGCCATCACATCCTTCTTCCATTATTTTAAGCAACCAGAGCAGCTCATCTGGTCGTTGGAGTGGATCTGCGGTGAGATCGTGTCCGGTACCACGGATTTCAGGATGTCGTTCTCTGTGGCCATGATGTGCTTGACCAGGAAATTTGCAGCTTCACTGATGTTGAGATTGTCCTAAAAAAGAGAGAACTGTTTAGGGGTGCTATGTGAAAAAAGTCAATAAAACAACTGGTCACATAATAATGGGGCTTTGATCATTTTGCTGCCAGGAAAAATGACATAAAGGAAGAAAAAAAAGTCTATTTTGTTTTTCTAAATTACTTAAGCATTTCTGTTACTGCTAAAAAAAAAGGCAGTGAACTTTTTGAGTCTTAAAAGCGAGAGACTGATGTTTTAGGCAGAACATGCTCATAATAACCTTTGACCTTTTAGAATGTTGAGTCCTGACGCTAGAACGGCGGCACGCTTACACTGCTCCAACACCTCAGTGTCAGCAGAGGAATGAGTGAATGAACATGGCAGCCAAAAAGACTGCTGGGTGTTAAGATAAGTATGTAATAAAATTCATTTAAACCACTCTGCAACATTCCATAAAACATCAGGCAAGTAAGGAAATGAAATGTATGTATTTGTTGTGTTAATGTTAGGTCTTTTTTGAGTTTAAAGAAGACATATTATGGCTTTTTTTTCTTATGTTATAATAGTTTTATGGTCAAAACATAAATGAAGTTTGTCGCACAAAATTTGTCTCACATTCAATTCAATTCAAAAATACTTTATTAATCCCAGAGGGAAATTGATTAACATAAAGCAATGTGCAGTTTTGTTCTAGTCATTTTCAGTACCTTCCAGAATGAGCTGTTTCTGGGCTCTGTCACTTTAAGAAAACATGCTGGAGCTGGCCACGTCCACGCCTTTCCCACTCAGGCTGCGCTAAACTGAAAGGCTTCAGTAATTCAGTAAGGGCTCTTCTGGCAGCAGCTCTCTCCTGCATGTGAGGGGACTCCTCTGCTAATTTCCCCATTTGTGACATCACAAACAGGGACATTTTGGAACTGATTGTAATGGACACATAAATCCTGAAACCAGATCCAGAAAGTGGACACTTTGGATTGTTTCATGTATGAAGTGTCTTTAGAGGGAGTAGAGACCCATACAGCATCACAAAAAGATAAAAAAGGTAATTTTTACATAAATAGTCCCCTTTGACCTTCTTTTTTAGGTTAGCAGAGGGGGGAAAAAACCTAAAATTAGCTGCAAAACAATCTAAAATAAACATGCAAGCATTAAAGAAAATATTCTATTTTAACATGTGACTTTAAAGTATATACTTTTTATTTTTATCTGTATGAAAAAAAAAGATTTTTATTCAGTGTTTGCATTATAATTTACAACAAAAGTTGATTTTGTACGAAGCTAAAACATTAGACATCAATTTTTGGGCCTCAAACTTAATTCTTCCAGTCACAAAACTATAATATTTCTAATAAATGATTATTAATCTGGTACAGAATTCAGACTTGATCATATATCCCATTCTGTGGATCTGTCTAACTGGTTCAGATTGATGTGAAAATGTTAAAAGCCCCAACATTAGCCGTTCTTGCTAATATTATCTTGGTTAAGGTTGAAAACAGTAACTTTTAACATTTAATTCAAAGTATATTTTCTCTATGTATATTTTATATACAGAAGTTTCCAGGTGATGGCCCCAAAAAAGAAGAGCTGTCAATTTCATGTAGTAAAAACAAAATTAGACACATTTTTAAAAGAAACATGGCTAAATTATAGATGATCTATTAGCAACAGCAAGCAACTAATTAGCTCAAACCAGCCCTGCACATAAAGTAAGCAGAAGACGGAAATAAACAATAAAAAAAGCAGGGGCGGATTTAGGACTGAAAAAGATCCGGGGCTTTAAAAACACACACACACACACACACACACACACACACACACACACACACACACACACACACACACACACACACACACACACACACACACACACACACGTAACACGCACTAGTCTTTTCATAAAACATTCGGGGCTTGAGCCCAAGTAGCCGGGCCTAACGCCGCCCCTGAAAAAGAGACTTTTAATCATAACACTTCTACACTAGCCATATTATTTTGAATGTGACTTAAGGAGATTACATTACATTTTGGAAAGTCTATGTTATCCAGAATATGAGCACAAGCTGCTTCTTGCTTTCATTAAAAGATCTGTAGAAGATAAAACGTAAGACTTTGATCCCAAAGAAGAGAGAAAATATGGATTCAGATGTTTGATTGAATCCTTTTGCATCTCTCTGTAAGGGTTTTGAAATGCAGTGGGAAGTTTGTGAGAAATGCAAGATCACAACCACAACAGGAATTAATTTCTAGCTTTGATTTTGTGGCTAAGCTTTTTGAACTCATTTATCCTGCTCTGCACACTTCGCTTTGTTTTGTTTTCACAACTTTGTAAGACCAATTCCTGCCTAGGGCACACCTCAATGGCAAAGGTTTAATGTTTGACAAGAAAATTAATTAATTTGTAGTAAACAGCAAATATCTGTTAAATCTATCATTTAACAGCTACAGACGAAAACAAGGCCACCTACAAATATGTTTTGATCACACTGCAGAAAAAAAACTTCTGTAATGAAAAAACGACTCTTTGGATGTGAAGTCTTGAGATGCTGTGAGTAATCAGCTCTGTTCTTTAAGATGACTCATTCTAAAGACCTTAGAGCTTTGTAACGCTGATCTGAAGATTTTATTTCAACAAACGGCAGAAAGCACTCCATCTTCTTCTACGTCACAGGGTTTCCAGTGATTATCGAGCTTTGCATGTGGAGTTTTTCACCCAGTTAAGTCATTTGAATGCATCCACAGTAATGAGACTGGTAAAGTTACTCATTATGAAGATTAAAGCTGACTGGTGTTTTTAAAGCAGGCAGTAGAGACAGCTAAATGCTAACAGGCGCCACAGAGTCATCCTCATCAGCTGGTTGGCTTGAATCTTACTGTGGTTTAGATATATCTTATTTTTTTCCTGTTTTAGATGAAAATCAACAAATTAGAGTGTCTAAGTTGTTAGTTTGACGGCAGCAGATCATGATGTTTAAAATGTTGTGATTTATAGATTTCATCCTAACTACTACGCCACCGTTTTGCAGTAGTGCTGAAACGATTCCTCGAGTACCTCGAATAATTCGAGTACAAAAAAGCCTCGAGTCAAATTCTCTGCCTTGAGGATTCATTTAATTCATGTTTAATTAATTCATGGCTTTGCAATCGCCCGGGGTCATGTTTCACCCGGACCGAAATAAGTGACGCACATACTGTCATGAACTCCTCCTCTTAACCTCCTCTGCGGGCCGGGCTGGCGGTGCACTCCAGTTCCCAGCATGCCTGTCACCGACGCTTCCCGGTGACGTCATCCCGCTGAGCCTATTTAAGGACCTGTCACAGCGGAGCCGGCACTCAGTCATCATCTAACGATAGACGCCAAGCCATTCTAAGACCTAAGACACTAACTCTACGAATCATACGGGAAGAGAACTTCCCACGCATCCACATATCAGTCTCTATCCACCATTCTCTCCGCGCCTGGGTCTCATAACCAATCCAGCTCAGCCCATCGAACCTGACAGGATGACTGAGTCCCGAGTAGACCCAGCGGAGATCGCACAGCTGCGAGCTGAGGTAGCGCAGCTGCTCAGCCGAGTAGAACGCCAGGAGGCGGACAACGCCCAACTCCGTGTGGAGAACAATCAGCTGCGTGCTGTTACTGATCGCCTCGCATCCAAACTCGATTCCGTCACCGAACTGGTAGTCCAACTCTCCTCAGCCCTCCAAAGACAGTCATCTGCCACTCCTAACGTGGTGGAGCCGTATCTAAGTCTCCCAGAGAAATGGGATGGGATTAAAGGATCCCCGGAGAGCATGTTGGCCGTTCTGTCAATGACTTTTGAGTGTCAGCCGGCACGCTACCCGACTTCCTGCTCTCGCGTGGCTCTGTTAACCTCCCTGCTGACTGGGCGAGCCGGTGAATGGGCGGCTGCTCTGTACCATCAGAAGTCCCCAGTCTGCAACGACTATGAAGCCTTCGTGAAAGAACTGAAGAAGGCATTCGTTCATCCCAGCAGCGAGGTCGCAGATGAGACACGCCTGCTCCAGCTTCGACAAGGCTCTCAGACCGTGGCCGAATTCACCTCACGCTTCCGGACCACCGCTGCCCGTCTAACCTGGGGTGATGCCGCGGTGAAGGCTGTGTACTTGGAGGGATTGTCACCCCGCATCCGTGAGGGCATGATTGGTCACGAGGCTCCAACCACCCTGGACCAGGCGGTGGACCTGGCTCTCCAGCTGGACCGCTGCCTCCTCACCAGACCAGGAGTGAGGGCGGTTCCCGTACAATCCCGAACTTTCCCCCGCTGTCAGGAGAACCAACCCGTGGAGGAACCCATGCAACTGGGTCATTTGCCCCCCGAGGAACGGGCGCGCCGTTTTCAGGAGGGACGATGCACCTATTGTGGGGCTCTGGGTCATCCCCGTGCAACATGTCCCATACGCCCGGGAAACGGTCCCTCCGGGTCGGTGTAGGAGCTGCCTCACTCGGAGTTTCCACTCATGCAGCTCCTCATCACACCACCCTCTCGGTCTCCTTCCAGCTGAGCCAAGGACCGGTCCCCCTGGTGGCCCTCCTCGACACCGGAGCTGCAGAAAGCTTTATCGATCAGGGGTTGGTCAACCGGCTCAAGATTCCACTCACCCTCCTCGATCATCCCGTTCCCGTCACCTCAGTGGACGGGCGCCCTCTCATGCCATATCCGATCACGCACCGAACCCAGAACCTCCGGATGACCATCGGAGAACACGTAGACACCCTTCATTTCTTGGTCATTCATGCCCCTACGACTCCTCTCATTCTGGGTCATTCCTGGTTCCGCCTCCACGACCCTCACATCTCCTGGTCCACCAGTAAAGTCATGGCATGGGGTGTTAACTGTCGCCTTCATCATCCGTCTCCAGGATCACAGCCTAGGGAGACACCACCCAAGGATGTGGATTTAACACTCCTTCCAGGATCACAGCCTAGGGAGACACCACCCAAGGACGTGGATTTAACACTCCTTCCACCCCAATACCACGATCTGGCTCGGGTCTTTGCAAAGGAGCCTACC